GGAAGGGGATTCTGAAATAAATAGGGAGAAAGGGGGAGGAGGATAGAAGATGGATAAATCTCCTTTTCTCCCTATTTATTTCAGAATCCCCTTCCCCTCCCCCCCCACTCCCCCATTTCTGAAGAAGGGTCTAGGCCGGAAACGTCAGCTTTCCTGCTCCTCTGATGCTGCTTGGCCTGCTGTGTTCATCCAGCTCTACACCTTGTCATCACAGGAGAATGGTGTGTTTCAGAGATGGTTGGTTTGTGACTTTTTTTAAAGGAAGTTTTTTTTTCGGAAGAAGGGATTAAATGAGAAACAATGGGAATAAGTGAAAGTCAGGACCAATGTAATAAAGCAATATAAGTAAGCAAGTAGTTGATGGAAGTAAGTTAGCTACATTCTTACTAAGTATTCTTTTTATAAATAAGAGTAACTAAAGGACTTAAAGGCAGCAGAGTTTGCAACCATGGTATGCTTCTCTTATTAATGTGGCAAATCATGGAAGCTGTAGTTGTCCCTGCTGAACAGGAAGTGTGTCCAGCTGCAGTTACTAGCAAACTGTATTTTGGAGCTGGAGCTGCAGGTACATTCACTATGGAACATCCACGATGCTAAGAATGTCGTGGATAGCACGTTCAGTCAGGTGGTCATGCCACAATTACAGTTTGAACAGGCAGAAACAGCACAGGTGATCAGGCAGAGTACAGGAAGGCAGGTAGTGCAGACAGCCTCTGTGATCCTCACCCATCTTTATCACTGTTTTGGATACTGGTGGGGGTGATGATTGTGCAGGGGAATGCAGTGGCAGCCATCTTCACAGGACCATGGTGAGGGTCTGCTCTCCTAGGCGGGGGAAGAAGAACAACAGCAGGGTTATAGTGGACAGGGATTCAATTGTAAGGGGAACAGACAAGTGTTTCTGCAGCTGCAAAAGAGACTGCAGGATGGTATGTTACCTCCCTGTGTCAGGCTCAGGGATAACACTGAAGGGGTGCAGGGCATTCAGAAGTGGCAGTTGGACCCTGCTCCGAGAACTAGCACCAAAACACCCAAAGAGGAGCACCTCGCCTTGTAATCTGTAAAAGGAGTGTGAAAAATTGTGTAACCGGCCTTTCAGCAACTTCTTGTGCTTAAATAAAATAAATCCCTGACACAATTTGTACACAAGTAACTATTTGTCTAACTCTAACAGTGAATAAATTAACCACGCTATTAACAAACCAAATAAATCCCTTCTAACTACTAACTATTTCTGAGTAAAACAAGATTCTAATGGTATGCTGTTCCAATAAATATAAGTCCCACTTATATAAAATATAAAAAAAATTTAGTCTCAAAATTTTCTAGAAGATTTGTAGCTCGGGTTGTGAATGAGGTTATAGACTTGCTTGCTGAGCCGGTGTGTTTGGTTGCAAACGTTTCATCACCCTGCTCGGTAACATCGTTCGTGCGCGTCTGGTGAAGCGTCAGTGTTCTGTCCTGCTTGTTATTTGCCTCGGTTTGCTGGGATGGTCGGTATTACTTCCGGTTCTGTTTTTCAGTAGTTTGCACACAGGGTCTAATTCTATGCGTTTGTTGATGGCGTTCTGGTTGGAATGCTAGGCCTCCAGGAATTCCCTGGCCTGTCTCTGTTTAGTTTGTGCTGTAATGGATGCGTTGTCCCAGCCCAATTTGTGTCCGTATTTGTCCAAGTGTACTGAGGCCAGTGAGAACTGGTCGTGTCTCTTGGTGGCTAGTTTGTGTTTGTGTATGCTCATTATCAGTTTTCTTCCAGTTTGGCATGTGTAATGTTTCTCACAGTCCTGCATGGTATTTTATATATTATATTGGTTTTATTGGTTGTCGTTATGGGATTCTTTACATTCGTCAGTAGCTGTCGCAGGATGGTTGTTGGTTTGTGGGCTACTCTGATAGCGAGGGGTCTGAGTATGGGACCAGGGAACCTCCGCAATGTCCAACTTCTTCCTCAACCGAGGATTCTCCAGCACCATTGTCGACAGGGCCCCTCAACTGGGCGGCACAGTGGCTAGCACTGCTGCTTCACGGCACCGGGGACCCAGGTTCAATCCCACCTTCGGGCGACTGTCTGTGTGGAGTTTGCACATTCTCCCCGTGTCTGCATGGCTTTTCTGCGGGTGCTCTGGTTTCCTCCCACAGTCCAAAGATGTGCAGGCTAGGTGGATTGACCAAAATAAATTGCCCATAGTGTTCAGGGATGTGTAAATTAGGTGGGTTACAGGGAGATGGGCCAGGATGGGATGCTCTAAAGTTCAGTGTGGACTTGTTGGGCTGAAGGGCCTGTAGGGATTTTATGATAATCTACGATATCTACGGTCTGACCTGTCTCCTACACTTCTGCCCCCACCTCTTGTCCTCCCTCCCACAACAGTGATAGGGTTCCCCATTGTCCTTAGCCAGCATCCACATCCAGAAGATCATCAGACACCATTTCCACCACCTCCAGAAACATATTCCCCTCCCTCATCTGCCTTCCACAGGGACTGTTCCGTCCAGAACACCCTAGTCCACTCTTCCTTTGCCCCCAATAGCACCTTCCCC